CTCTCTCCCTCTGACCTTCTCCCCAGCTCAAAAAAAGAAAGAAAGAAAGAAAGAAAGAAAGAAAGAAAGAAAGAAAGAAAAAGTGTTTCAAATAACAAAGTGTTAAGAATACAACAATTTTGAACTTGCCCTCAGGTTATTACGTCTTTATCAAGACTATGGTATTAGCATAGGTATAGAAAAAAAGCCTAAGGAAGCCAGCCCCAGCCCCACGCATATGCATAAACTTGGTAGATGACAGAAGCAGCCGTTGTCTATCAGAGGAGCAAAGAGTCACGGAGTGCTCCTACCACATACAGAAATCAGGGTACATTCAAGTACTAAATGTAAAATGCAAACCTTTAAACATTTTAGAAAGCGGCAGGGAACATCTGTGACCTTGAGCTAACAAGAATCGATAAGCAAAAGAGACAAAGTATCAAGAAGCAAAGTTAAAATATAAATTATAGACTTTGAGGAGATATTTCCAAGGCACATTACTAACAAAGGATAACACCCATAATATGTCAAGAACTCTCAAATGAGTTTAAAAAAAAAAAACAAAAACGCACATCAGGGTGAAAAAAAGGCAAAGAATATAAACGAACGACTCACTGATGTGGGGAAGCGTACAAAGTCAACAGCCGAATGAGAAGACGCCCAGGCTCACCAGTCATAAGGGGAGTGTAAAAGAAAATGAGAGACCATTTCAGCCCCAGATCAGCAAAACTCTTAAACCAAACTAATACTAAGTGCAAGACAAGAATAAGGAAACAAAGCACCCCCGTACACGGCTGACGCGAAGTCTCCACTTTAGAGACCGTTTGGAAATATTTAGCCATGTTGGAATCCCACACATCCTGCGATGCAACAATTTCTAAGTCCACAACCTACATAGAACTCTTGCACCCGTGCGTGAGATGTTCAAAGATGTCTGTTCCCTAGAACACTGGTTCAAACGGTCAAAAACGAACCACATCAAAATTTTTCTGTCAACAGAGGAAAGGTAAGTAAACTGGCAAATTCGTACCACGGGATGCCAAATAGTAGCTTAAATGAATGAACTAGAGCTGCGTGTATCAGATACATTTCAAAATACTACCGATTGGAAAAAGCAACCTACGAATGGCTAAATCTAGCATAAATACCATGTCGGACATTGTTTATGGATACATCTCTCTAAATAGTACAGACAATAAAGACAGGAAAGACAGGTACCACATTCAAGATCATGTGTGCCTTTGGGAAAGTAAAAAGTAAGATTGGAGGTGGTGGTATTTCAGAAGTGAAACTTCATTTTCTTTCTTAAACAAGGGCCTTTGAAAAAACTATGGCAAAAAGTCATGATCTATTAAAGCTGGGTGGTGTCTGAAATGGGTGTTATCTTCTGTGCTCCCAGTACTCAACAGTTCTCAAAAATTAGAAGTAGCCAATTATGAAGGTCACAGGAAAAAAAAACAGTACTTCCCACCTTTTATTAGACCAATTTTCTAGGGTACACATAACTTGTACAATTATAGTTTAGTCTAAACGTCAGAACTGTTAGTTTTTCTATTTTACATTGCTTTGGGGGTATTCAGGCCTACAGAAATTTCTTAAACTGGGAATTTTATTTTCCCTAGCTGGGGCCCAATCCTTAACATGCTTATGCTAGACACTGCTGAACCCCAAGCCCATGGCGCTTGCTACCAGAACCAATGTGTTCAGGTAACAGAAGACTCTATCTGCTTCAAAGGGTATTCACCACTTGAGGAGAGGAATCTGGATTGCTTTAGGCCAATTTCAGTAATGCCGTTCTCCAGGTCAGTAAATGATTTAGAAATGGGCATTTAAAGTCTGTTAGTAAGACAAGTAGGTGAAGTTCACCAAGGGGCTTCTGTGAAAAAAGAACACCTTAGAGACACAGCAGTGCACAATCTCTTCTTTGGGCTTTGGACATTGTTGTGCAAGTGGACGATGCCTGGAGATGTCGCCTGTCTTGCTACACCATAAGGGGTCAATCCTGAGGATAAAGACTCACAGCAGAAGATGCATGGGCAGAAAAACATGGAAAGAGTCTGGGTCCCTGATAATACTGCTGAGACACTGAACTTCGACAAGTCACAGAACGGCCCTACCTGGGCTTATGAAATAAAATTTCCTTACTCTTTAAGACCTATTTATTTAGGTTTTCTGCTCCTTGCAGTTGACGGCACACTGAGACAACTCTTTTTTTTTTTTTTCATTTGTTTAAGCAACCTCTCCACCAACATGGGGCTTGAACTCACAACACTGAGGTCAAGAGTCGCATGTTCTACCAACTGAGCCAGCCAGGCGCCCCAAGACAATGCTCTTTATCAAAACAAAACACAAAACTCTGAAGAATGTACGAATTCCAGTGAGCTCCTGATGATTATAAAGATCTTGTTATTCTCACACAGACTGGAGGCGGGAGTTCTGCAAACCACACAAATAGTTGCAGCTTTACCAGAACCACCCCAGTTTTGTTTCACACTTTCTCTGTCACTGAACAGTCTGAAAGAGAATGTGCCTATTTTGTTTTTAGCATTGTTTAGCCACAACGAGAACGGTGAGGGAGAGTCCAAATTTGCTTCTTTGTAAGTATTTAAAGGTGTTTAGTCCGTAACATTCCTTTGCAACTCTTCAGACACGGCTCCCAACAAAGGCGGTTTCAACGTGTGTTCCAACTTCCTACCTGTGCCTCACACCTGGGCAGACGCACAGTCCAGTATCCCACCAAAGTACTTACCAAGATTGTACAGCCCACTCCTAGACCTCTGGAGAAAGTTTTCATCTTCAACATCAGGCTTCTGTGATAATGAAACAACTACAAAGGTGTAGACAATAAAATGGATTTATTTAAAAAGAAAACTACAAAATTTGACATTGAGAGAGATAAAAAGAAAAGAAAAGAAAAGAAAAAAGACCCACAGGATTTAAATTGATAAATACAAAAGCGATTGGCTATAAACAATGTAAAAATACATTTCCCAGTCCCCAAGCAGAACATAATTTAAGTATGGCAGTTATAAAATTCTTACATTGTATGCATTTTCTCTTAAAATCTTTAAGAACCATTTTAAAGAGTTTATTTGTATAAAATATAACAAATCTAACATGGCTGTTAATAAAAAATTATGTGACATTTCAGTTTATTGAGTTTGCCCTTTTTCGGACATCAAAGGGGTTTTGGTCCCAAGTTTTCCTTGAACTTTTTTTATTCACCACGTGGTCTTTTTACTGGAATTCCTTCTACAATAGAAGAGGGGGGCCAATCAGTCATGGGTCCCATAGAGAACAGGATGAAGAAAAGTTCCAGAGGGACCCAAAATACCAGCAAATACATTATCTTTCTGCAAAGGGAAGGTTAAGTGGCAGCTAAGAGGCCCACTTCTGCACCAATAAAAGAGACGCAAGCCAAGCCTCAGAGCGAGCAGCGCTGCGGCTCGATGCCGACGTGCTGTACGGAGGCGGCCAGCTGGGACACGTCCCATCAAACTCAACGAAGCCCGTGCACACGCGGGGACCCTGAGGTAGCCCGGATGGTTTGCTGTGAAAGCCCAGCTGGGTCTGGATGATATTTAAAATGACAGTGTACAGTCAGGGGTGAAATTCCAGAACTTGCTGACCATACGCTACTTATCTTCGAACCACTCTTCATTCTTGGGCCCAGGACCCAAGCTATTTCTCCTCTCGTGGATGGTACGCCCAATAAAGACAGCATCCGTGATCGGGTTCATTATCCCCTAGGTGGGTAGTGGTGACAGCACCACGGGCACTAGCATCCAAACTTGGGAACAAATGGATACAGTCCTGAGTCATCAAGAGAGGGCAGCAGCCGTGGGAGGCCGTGCTGCTGAACTCTGACCACCGCACCTGCCACATCCACACACACAAATGAGAAATTTCAAATGGATAGGGTCATTAAATGGTCTCACTGGGAACACGATTCCACTCCTTCAGAAGGAACACCCGGTCCACCTAGCCCCGGAGACTTCCAACGAAGTCCTGAAGTACCTGACACGTGGGCTTATTGCCTTCACGCCAGAGTCCTGAGTCAAAATTCTAAGAGGAGGACAAGAAAGATCTACTCTGTGAACCCCTTGCTCAGAAAGGACCAAGTGCCCTGGCCGGCTGGCTCTAAGACAACCTGCCAGCAAGAGGCCATTCTTGCAAACGATCAGAACGAGTCTGAAGCGGAATGGCTGGGCTGCCCCTTACACCATCCTCAGGGTTAACCTGGGCAGGATTTGCTAGATACTTCCTTAAGAAGGTCTCCCCCAAAGAGAAGTCAGAGTAATCCCCGACGTGGGAACAAGAAACCTAAAGATCCCGCTGCATACTCTGTGCAGTTAAAAGGGCCCCAAAGTTTGGATTACCTAAAGACAACCGCCATCGGCCAGAGACTCCTCTCTGTCAGATGATGAAACAGTGTATGGACCATGTGGATAAAGAGAAAAGGGAGAATCTCAAATAGATGAAAAATCAAAAGCTGGGGTTTTGAAAAGAGGGTAGGCTTCAAAGAAACCGCTCAACAGACTGATACAGCTGTATTAACTTCGGTAGGAAGAGCCATATATCAACAGGGGAATGGACCAATTCCTAGCTCCCAGTATGAACTTATCTCTTCAGACAGTGGTAAGCAGTTGAAGCCTATTTTTAATAATCACTGTATTGTTCAAGAAGTGTATCTTTTTTAATCTTTGGTCCTTAGCCATGAGAGTTTCTTCCATTTTTCTGTGTGTTATATTATATAAAAAATCTTTTTTTTTTTTCGCTTATCAACAACAAAGTGCAGTATAAACATAGGGTTTCTGATATTGTTTCTTTTCTACGTATAAAACAACAACACCTCCCATACAGTTTCTATTATGCTAGAAAAGGTCTCAGAAAGAGTTAATAATAATTATCCTAAAACGTTACAATATAATTTTAAGGCTGAGTGAGATACAGTAAAGCCTGGGTATTTCAATGACAGAATAAAAGATCATCAGTTGAGCTATGTGATTTAAAGAAACAACTGTCCTCCGAAACAGAAACAAAACCATTTCATTTGACAGAAGTTTTAACTGTTATTTAAATACATTTTTTTTTGAAACAACAAGTTCTCTGGCCTAATTTGTGGTGACTGACACAGAGTCCAATATCGACAAAAGTGCCTTCCTGCCCTTCCCCTTGTTCCCCCAAAGAAGTGGTTTAACCATTACATAAATTCTACAAGAGTTTGTGCCAGGGCTCAGGCATTACGCAGCTGATACCTTATGCAACACCCATTCCCTAGGTCCTTAAGCATTAAGTGGTTCAGTGGCCTCTGTCCTCCTGGTAGCCTCAGGTTTTCTCATCTGGGACTCCTGTCGTTTCTCCCAGACCATACTGGCAAAGTCAAACAGGAACATAAAACTTGCTAGGAATCCAAACACCTGGGGAGAAGAAAGGGCGAAGGTTGTATGATGAGTTTTGGAATGTAATCTCACATTTCCTACTGGGCTCTGAAAGCGTTTTATACAAGCAACACGATTCATCAATTTTATCTTATACACATTATTCTCAACCCCTGGTAATAAAAGACTTTTTAAGGTCATCAGAAAACTAGAAGTTACAAAAAAAAAATCTAGAATAATGGCTACTAGTTGAAGTTCTACAAAAGAGAGATGTCCAGCCTTATGTGTGCATGTGGGATGTGGGGTGCCAAACCTGTGACACTAAGGTTAATAGATGAAAAACAAAACCGTAGAAAATGATACAAAACACAGGATTATTGGCAATGGTTAGACTGACTCACAGGTGAGATAAGAGAAATACGTGAGTAGGGAGTGAGTGAAAATGGCACAAAGTGATCACTATCAAAACAGAAATTCTATTTCGAAGATCCTTTTAGGTTAAATTACCTAAAAAATATTTTCCAGTTACTTGTCACACTGTCATGACACAGCAACATGACACCATGACCTACTTCCTCTTCCTTAAATCACTTCCTCATTGCACTCCTCTAACATACGATCAAGCATTCTGAGAATTCTGTTAAGAAGAAATCTTCTTCACTAGCAAAACCCTTAAAGAAATGGGGGCCAAAGAACGGCTCTGTAAAGAGAGAAAACTGGTGTATGTGATGGCTAAAGTCCCTTCTACCTCTAGCGCCCCATCTCCATGATTTTTTATTATCGCTTTTTTTTTTTTTAGTTTTAAGTTTTCCAGTTAGTTAACATACAGTGTAATGTCAGTTTCAGGTCTATAGTTATTCAACAGTTCCATACATCACCCGGTGCTCATCTCGACAAGTGCTCTCCTTAATCCTCATCACCTATTTACCCCTCTGGTAACCATCAGTTTGTTCTTTTTTTTAAATTATTTTAATGTTTATTTATTTATTTTGGGGGAGAGAGAGAGAGAGAGAGAGAGAGAGCGCGCGCGCCAGGGAGGGGCAGAGAGAGAGGAAGAGAGAATTCCAAGCAGGCTCCGCCCTGTCAGCACACAGCCCTATGCTCAATCTCATGAACTGTGAGATCATGGCCTGAGCTGAAATTAAGTCAGACATTTAACTGACTGAGCCTCGCAGGTGCCCCCAGCAGTTTGTTCTTGATTTTTAATATTTTGTTGTAGTTCCAATCTCTTGACTTTTCACACCCAACCCCTCAAGAATATGCATCCTGCCTCATTTCACTATAAAGCAAACTGAACTCCAAATTCATCAATTTACCCAAATAGCCCCAATATATCCAACCTAAATTTAATTATCAATCCCACATCTCTAAAGCCAAGTCGCTTCTCCCCTCTGGAGTCTTCATTTTGGCTTGATGGCATCTATCCCCTTACTGGGCAAACATATTACACACTTTAAGGACAGATCAGATGTCACTGTGTCTGTGAAGCCATCCCTGACCCCCTCGAGAGCCCCAGTTCATGCAGGGCCCTCTATGCCGTAGCATCCAGACAGATGATATTCCCGATCTTTTGCTCACATACTTTTCAATTTTTTCTTCTTTTTTTAATGGACTCCCTTACTAATTTAAGTCTATAAATTTTTTTCATAATAAGTTGCAAAAGGTAATGTCCAGCATATTACAGTGAGTTTTTTTTAATTTTTATTTTTATTATAAATACTGAGTTTTTAAATACCAGTCACTCTTAAATATAGCCAATGAAATCTAAATACTGTAATAGTCTAACACATCACCTAATTATACAACTAAGCTTTGTTTTAACAACCTGGAATTTTATGCCATGCTTTTTTCCCTCTCTTCAACTCAACTTTCCTCAATTCTATTTCACTTCCTCTAAGGATTTTATAGCAATGCACTTCTATACCTTAAAACATTTCACTGATCACCCTATCATACTCCTCTGCAATACAAATATGTATATAAACTGAAATTAACCATAAGGGTCATTAAAACTTAGATCTTTCTCTTCATGTACCGATTGGTTCATGTATTTATGATTATGGTTCAGGCATAAGTATTACTTGTTGCTAGAATGAGTCGAGGTTCAGCACTGATTTAATTTCGGTTTTGTTTTGACATGTGTGCTAACAAATTGCTCACATGAACAGGTAGATATAACCATGCAAGTCCCTGAACTCCCTTTAAGTTTTCTATAATTGAGAGTAGTTTTAAATTTTTTTTTTTTTCAACGTTTTATTTTTATTTTTGGGACAGAGAGAGACACAGAGCATGAACGGGGGAGGGGCAGAGAGAGAGGGAGACACAGAATCGGAAACAGGCTCCAGGCTCCGAGCCATCAGCCCAGAGCCTGACGCGGGGCTCGAACTCACGGACCGCGAGATCGTGACCTGGCTGAAGTCGGACGCTTAACCGACTGCGCCACCCAGGCGCCCCAAATTGAGAGTAGTTTTAATGATCTATTAGCTGACAACTCAATTAATTATAACTTCAAATTTGTTATGAACAAAGTATTAATTGGAATCCAGCTGACTTGCAAGAGGATTTGTTATTGTCATTTGTCTGTGTTCACAAATCCACGACATGGCCCTTGATTTGTAATTCTGAAATCCAAAAAGCTACAAAAACCCAAACGTTTTCATGATTTACTTGGCTCAAAAGTGACACCAGGCAAAACTACTTACAGTCTTTATCCCCTTTACTGTGAGTATTCATGGTTCAGAAATATTAACATGTTGGATTACAGGGTCTGCCCCAGGCCCTCTGCAGCACTGCCTTTGTAAAATCCAGAATATTCTGAATTAAAAAAAAAAAAAAATCTGGTCCTCCAAGGATTTCAGATAAAAACATTTCCTTATCGATCTCATCTATCAGGCTGAACCTTTCGATCATTTCTCCTGTGTATTCTCTACACCTAGTGTGGCTATTTTACACCTGCCATGTATGCGTGTTTTTGCTGCACTGCAAAGTAGAAAAGAAGATACGGAAGTCAGATAACAAAGTCAGTTCTACCCCTTCCATTAGCAGGAACACATTCATATGTGGAGTGATTAGGTTTTTATTGACAAAACTTGGCCAAATTCTAAACACAGGTTCTAGGTTGCTATATCATATTTATTTGCGCTTAGGTCCTCCGTTCAAAATTAACACTGAAAAATAAGTTAAAAGATGAACAATGCTCCCCTATTGTATAACCTTTTAGTACTTTCCAAGCTCCATATTTCTAAGGAAACAAAAATAAGCAAGGGTTCAAAATACAAGGTACTCACAGTGGCAGCTGTCTCAGCTGGGGTCCTGTCATGTGTGGAGACGAAAATGATGGATGCCAACAAAAACACACATCCTGTGCCCAAAGTAATATAGAAATCCTACACATGTGCACAAAGAATACAGTAGGGTTAGGTTCATAGAAACAAATGTTTTTGGCTTTTACTTTTAAAAAACTTTGGTGACACAGCTTTTTCATGCAACCCAAATTTACATGCTTCAGCTTCTAACTTTTCCATAAGCTTGGCATTCATTAATTACCCTGTAAAGGAATGCTATCCATACTTTGGATGGGGCGTATTCAGAGCACATCACAAGATAATCTTTCAATAAAAGCAGTTCCCCAAAAGGCCATGCGTGTGTATGTGTGTGTCGTTTTCTCTAGGACATATTAAAATTTCCAAAGCCATTTATTACATGCCATCTTACTTCCAGCAAAAACAAAAACAAAAACAAACAAAAAAAGAAAAACCAGACACAAAAAAATTTTTCTTCCCTTTCAAAGTATAGATGGTCCCTGACTTACAATGGTTCCGCTTATGATTTTTAACTCTGGTGCCAAAACACTATGCATTCAGTAGGAACTGTACTTCCAGCTGTGGGTGTGGGTCCTCTCAGGCTGGCGCTGCGCGGGATGACCCTCCATCATGCTGCTGGGCTGTGGCAGCGGCTCTCGGTCAGCCCCCGATCACGAGGGTAAACTACCGGTACTCTGACAGCCCTTCTGCATCCACACAGCCCTTCCGTTTGTCACTTCGGGACAGTATTCAATGACATGAGTCAACACGTCATTATCAAACAGGCTTTGTGGGAGATGACTGTGCCCAACTGCAGGCTAAAGTAAGTGTTGTGAGCACACTAAGCTATGATGTTCAGGGGGCTAAGTGTATTAAATGCACTTTCGACTTAACGGTATTTTCAACTTACGATGAGTTTTATCGGGATGTAACCCCATCATAAGTTAAGGAAGATCAGGATTCTATGCTAGGATGGCCTCTCTGAGAGTACTTCAGTGCTCTGAAAGCACTCTAGAAAAGAGAGAATCAGATGAACCACCCGTCATTAACCAAATAAAATTATGCCAATAGTATGTTTTTAGACACGTAAATTTTCTGGAATAACGTATTGTTTTCAATCATTCCAAGTAAGTAACCCAAAATGGGCTTGTATGATGAGCTTATCTGCTCTATAGAGGCTTCCATATCTCATCATAATGTAGCTCACGACACAAAGTTCTCCATAGGTTCCCAAGGGCTCTCTGGCATTATCTGGTAAGACTCCCTGTCAGATGCCAACTGCAAACAGCACTTGACATGCACACTTGATTCAGAGGAGAAACCGGTAAAATGACAGCCATCGCTCAGGGTTTTAAGTCTGATACTTTCAGAGTTTCCTGAGATGCATCTCCAGTAAACCTAATATCGATAAAACTACCCAACACAGAATTCCCAGACTGTCCGCTGTTCACGTAACATTTACAAAAAAATTTAAGAGATTTTCTTTTTGCTTCTGAAAGAGGTGTTTTTTGGGGCGCCTGGGTGGCGCAGTCGGTTAAGCGTCTGACTTCAGCCAGGTCACGATCTCGCGGTCCGTGAGTTCGAGCCCCGCGTCAGGCTCTGGGCTGATGGCTCAGAGCCTGGAGCCTGTTTCTGATTCTGTGTCTCCCTCTCTCTCTGCCCCTCCCCCGTTCATGCTCTGTCTCTCTCTGTCCCAAAAATAAATAAACGTTGAAAAAAAAAAAAAAAAAAGAGGTGTTTTTCTATAATACTTTTGTTTTTCCTATTCCTTTGAATGTTATTTCAAATCGGCGACACACAAATATAAAACTCCATTTACTAATATTTGGATTTCATTCAAGGAGGTATTAAACAGGACAACCATTTTGAGACAGAATACTTTACTGTTCGATAAATATGGGCTCTGGAACCAGACCACCTGAGTTCAAATCCCAGTTACACTACTTCCTGCTGTATAACTTTGAATTTGTTACTTAATTACCTGTGTGCCTTAGTTTCTCCATCTGCAAAATGGGAATAAGAACAGTATCCTCTTCATAAGTGATTCTAAAGATTTGATAATCTGTGGAAAATGCTTAGACCGCCAGTATCAGGCACACAGTAAGTGTCCCACAACTTTTGGCTACTATTACTCTTGACAGAATGTGAGCCACAATAGCACGGAATAGAAACGATTCTCCCTTCAAAAAGCTTATTGGTCCTCCCTAGACACTACCACCATCACCACCCCATCACACACTCAAAACAGAAAACCTCTGACATTAAAAAAGTATTTGAGTCCGTTAACAGGTCAGGAGTAAAAGTGATTTTTAAACCTTTCAAACAAACATGGAATCCTTACAGTGTTAGGTGAAAAGTACAACATATATGACTGTAACTCTTAATCATCATCTATGAATAGACACGAAACACCCAAAAGAAATAAAATATTTACAGTTTTTTTTGTAAAATATCTACAAAGGCTGTTTTAGGATGAAATGACTAATTTATTCCTTGCCCTACCCCCCAGCATTTTAAGATCAGCACTTACTCTAAAATAATTTAAATGCTCAAGATGTCATAAATGTTTTACATCTTGTTTAGTTATAGACCATTAAACTGGAAAACACTGTAATATTGTTTCTTGTCAGGGGCGCCTGGGTGGCGCAGTCGGTTAAGCGTCTGACTTCAGCCAGGTCACGATCTCGCGGTCCGTGAGTTCGAGCCCCGCGTCAGGCTCTGGGCTGATGGCTCGGAGCCTGGAGCCTGTTTCCGATTCTGTGTCTCCCTCTCTTTCTGCCCCTCCCCCGTTCATGCTCTGTCTCTCTCTGTCCCAAAAATAAAATAAAAACGTTGAAAAAAAAATTTTTTTAAAAAATAAAAAAAGATCAAAGTTCTTAAACACTACAGATGCAGCACTAAAGTTTAAACATTTCTAAAAATATTCGTACGGACAGTGATACTGTTTTGCTGTGGAGAGAGTAAAAACTGAAAAAAATCACTTCAATCTTAAATGTTTACAATATAAATTCATACACTGGAACTAAAAATCAATCAGCTTAGACACAAGTTAACTTTTCACTTGCCCCCAAATCTTACCACATACCTGTCTGCAGAAAGGAAGGACTTAGAGATTACAAATATGATTACCAAAAGCTCGAAGATATTCTCTGTATCCTCATCTTAATATGCATATTCCATACAATAAATAGGCTCTATTACTGTCATCATTATACAGAGATCTAGATAACGGGGGGCTGATATCGGCCATGACAGAATCTAAAGTTGGCTAGGGCACTGGTTCCAACAGGATTCAGTGGTGGCCACAGAACGGAATCCAGAGTGTGCAGGGTTTTTCTGGGTTCCAATCTCGGTTTATTTTTACCCTAGCTGTGTAACTTTGGACAAGTTACATAACCACCCTGAATCTAAGTTTCCTCAATGGAAAAATGGAGCATTACAATATGAGGATTCTAAGTCACAGTATATAAAGTATCTGACACGAGTCTGTGCTGACAGCAGCTGTTACCAAGGAAGGTAATGGAACGGTCATATACTGGCCACACCAAGATCCGCATGTATGCGCTCATCAAAGACTTGATGGATGGGATTCACACTCTACCTGTTTTGTTTTGTTTTTTTCAAAGTTACTTTTTTAACTATTGTGGTATCAATTTTTTGTTTAATTTTTAACCTTAAAATAATTCTTTTAAAAGAAGGTAACAGATCTTACAGCACAAAATGATAAAGGGTAGTACAAAAGGGTGTACAGATAAAAATAAGTATCTTAGGTGTATACTAATATATGACCCAATGTTTACTTCTCATTAATTCAAAACAATAACAGAATTTTACTGATTTGTATTTACCTTGTTACACCGTTTTGTTTTGTTTTTTTTTTTTAAAGTAATCTCTACCCTCAGTGTAGGGCCTGAACCCACAAACTCGAGATCAAGAGTCACACACTCTACTGACTGAGCCAGCCAGGTGCCCCTATCCCTTATTCTTAAAATTTTTTTTTTTTTTCAACGTTTATTTATTTTTGGGACAGAGAGAGACAGAGCATGAACGGGGGAGGGGCAGAGAGAGAGGGAGACACAGAATCGGAAACAGGCTCCAGGCTCCGAGCCATCAGCCCAGAGCCTGACGCGGGGCTCGAACTCACGGACCGCGAGATCGTGACCTGGCTGAAGTCGGACGCTTAACCGACTGCGCCACCCAGGCGCCCCCCTATCCCTTATTCTTAATAGTTAAAAATTTACCCTAAGTTTTATCTTTTCCCTCAGAGATGTGAATTCTTACATATGTCGACCCTGACATTTACAATTCTTCACAAACCACTACTGTTTTACTCCAATACTACTGAAGAAGTAAAATGCTCAATTCTTCCTTCCTTCCTTAAGTGCAGTCAGTGTGTGAATCATCTCATGTGTCATCTCACAAATCCACACTATACTCAAATAAAAACATGCGCTAGCAGACCGAGTTTAGAAAGTTATGTATCACTGATTTTGTGAAAATAAAATTTCCAATGTGCACTTTCAGTAAAAGGGAAATTTCTGAACAATGAATTCAACAAATGCCTCCTTAATCCACTTATGGATAAATTTCTTTGTAATAAAAATCAAAACCACAGGTAGGATTATGTGGTGTCACATTTTAAAACATTTTTTTACTACTATTTTTTTTTGAGAGCGTGCACACACACATGGCGGGAGAGGGCCCAGGAGACAGAGCCAGAGAATCCCAAGCAGGCTCCGTGCTCAGTATGGAGCCTGACGTGGGGCTCGACCTCGTGACCTTGAGATCACGACCTGAGCTGAAATCAAGGGTCGGATGCTTAACTGACTGAGCCTCCCAGGCACCCCTGTGTGGTGTTTCATTTTAAAAGTTCCAGAAATACGTCACATTAGTTCATCACTCTCTCTAGCATCCAGCATAATGCCTGGCACAGGACAGGTACACAATGAAAAACTGTAGAGCCCACGAGCGACACCCTGAAATGTGAGAAATCAAAAGTGACAAAAATCCTAGTTTTTAAAAAATACCTAACGGGAGTTAGGGGAAACCACCCATAACTGTAAACTCCTGGCCGTGTCCGTCCTCCTTCTCATCCCATTTTCCCCGTCTCCCCCACCATCTGGCAGGGAAAATGGAGCTGCCGAAGGGCAGAACTGGAACAATGGATAGTGTCTTCTCCTGCTCCTGAGTGTTGCAAGCATCCCTAGTTTGAACAATAAAACAGCACAGGACTCCAAACAGCTATGTTCTTCATAGAGGGATGACAGGTCTTCATGCTTACCGATGACTTGACTTTGACAGCATCGACTCTGTCATAAACTGGAGTGCAGTACACAATCAGAATGAGGAGACTCAGGAGAAAGGCACTGCAGCTCACAAATTCAAAAAAGTAAAGTCCTCCACACAAAGTGCATTGTGACACGACTTCCTCGCAGACGAAGGCCAGCAGAGACAGCAACTACAAAAGAAACAAAACATTTCACTTAAGTGTTTTCCAGAGAAGCCTACAGTATTCAGAAAACATATTGGTCCACGCAACTATCTGTGAAGTGGAGACCAGGGCAAACACGATTACTAAATGCAGCTGATCCACACAGAACTTACAGTCCGGTTGCCTTGAAGGGAATCCAAGTTCGCAAATAATTAACTACCAAGTGCTAAAGGCCAGAATGGGCAAAACACAGCGTGTTGCTATAAAAGCACACAGGAGAGGCCCTCCACTTGGGGGGGTCAGGAGAGGGTTCCCGAAGGACAGGAGGGTCAGCTTCGGGGGTAAAAGACAGGGAAAGAAGCTCGAGGCACAGAAGCAGTCCACAGAAAGACCTGGAGGTACAAGAGCTTGGTACCCCTCCCACCCCAATGCATACATATATCCCCCCGCCCCACTGAACCATGCAGTAAGTTGAGTCCGCATGGTTCAACTATCCAGTGTGAAGGAAGGGGACCGCAGCACAAAAATGATTAAACCAGACCAGGGAGGTAAGCAGAGACTAGATCTAAATGTCCTCTCTTATTATTAAAAATCGGATTTTAAGGATTTTCATGCAAATGGGCAGCACAATCAGGTCTATGCTTTTAGTAGTTCTTGCTGGCTACAACATGGAGAAGGGACTGGGGAAAGGGCAGATCCTGGGATGGACATCCAGTTGGGAAGGTGATGTAGGAAATCAGGGCAAGACAGTGACCAGGTAGCAGTAATGGAGAACAGTCTGAAATCATTGCAAGACGCAGTAGAAGCCCTTATCAGGACACATTTAAACAGAGTAGGAAAGGGGCACCTGGGTGGCTCAGTTGGTTAAGCATCCATCTTGGGCTCAGGTCATGATCTCACGGTTTGTGGGTTCGAGCCCCGCTGTCAGGCTCTGTGCTGACAGCTCAGAGCCCGGAGCCTGCTTCAGATTCTGTGTCTCCCTCTCTCACTACCCCTCCCCCACTCATACTCTGTCTTTCTCTCTGTCTCAAAAACAAATAAACATTAAAAATAAATAAGTAAATGGGGTGCCCGGGTGGGCTCAGTTGGCTGAGTGCCCGACTTCAGCTCAGGTCATGATCTCACAGCTTGTGGGTTCGAGCCCTGCGTCAGGCTCTGTGCTGACAGCTCGGGGCCTGGAGCCTGCTTCGGATTCTGTGTCTCCCTCTCTCTCTGCCCCTCCCCAACTCGCACTCTGTCTCTGTCTCTCAAAGATGGATAAACATTTAAAAAAACTTTAAAAAATAATAACTAAATAAACAAATAAATAGAGTAGGAAATAACATACTTGAACGCTTTAACTTAAAACGAAAAAGCACGTTTATTCACTAATCTTTTGAAATTGGGCTTTTCTTGGAGTTTGAGCCTACTGACTGCAACTCCACATCATGTTTTCTGCACTCATCACTTTCTTCATCTGTAACTACCACTTCCAGACCAATGTTAGTTGAAGTGGAGCAAGGCCTTGGACACCTGAGAAGCAGAGTGCAGAATCCTTCTAGATTTGGACAAGTTTTACTAGCCTTCTACAACAGGCGTCTCGCTCTAACTTAATTCCACAACAAATACTTTAGTAATTTATTTTTCGGACTTGCCAAAGCATACAATTTCGTTTTCACAGGAAACAACTCCTTTCCACACTCAATTTTAGTCTGTGTGATTGATATTTAGTTAAACGTCTGACGATAGAAAGCGTAATTAGCAGTATTGCGAATAACACAAGTCGACTGATGGCAGAGGCGAGAGTGTTCAAGAGGGCCTGAAGTCATATGCTCACTCGAATGTAAATTTAAAAAATTAATTAATTAGTTTAAAAAAAAAAAAGCACGCAAGAGGGGCCTCAAGTGTGCTCAAGAGTGCCAGACAGGGGCGTGGGTCAGAATGCTGTGCCCTAAACGGACAATGGTTCACTCTGGTGAACTCGGCAACTCAACATTACATGAAAGCACCCCCACTGTCGTATGCACACACGATACTGATGCACTGGGGCCTCACTGCAGAAAGAAGAGTCGGGTCTTTTTGGTTTTTCTTCTTTTTTTTAAGAGGCAAGGGTGCTGGGGAGAGAATCCATTCAGTTTTAAATATCCTGGGTATGAGCGGTTTGTGAGAGAGTGAAGGAAGGTATCTAGGAGGCAAAAGGGTACGCAGGTCTACAGCCCAGGGGAGAGGTCGCAGGTGGAGACGAAGACGTGGGCATCAGCCAGTGAGATCCCCCAGAAGGAGGAAAGCTAGCTTAGTGCAGAACTCTGAGCAACCCCACGATTTAAGGGATAGACAGAGGCGGAGACACCAGCAAAGGACAATCAGGAACAGCATTCCAAGCGGGTAGTAGAACAAGAAAAAAGGATTTCTACCAAGAGAAAGTAATCAAGAATAATGAATGCTACTTAGAGGTCAGGTAAGAACGACACTGAAACACTTACATCATACAGGGCTACAGGCGGCTGCTGGTGACATCAGCAAGCCCATGGCAGTGTGGTCAGGCAGGGAGGCTAAGATTACAGCACTGCACAGTGAGAAGTGAAAGGAGGACAAAGCGGTGAGATAGAGCCAGCACAGTCACAAGCTGTACTTTGGAAAGACTGGCCAGACAGGGGAGTAGTGGACAAGGTCAAAGGGATGGGAATTTCAAGATGGGAGAGAACTGAGCATGCTTAAAAAGGCAGAAACCTGTAAGCTGGGTGGGTCTCAAGACGAGGAAGAGAAGAAGCTCTCTATAGGTAGGATTTGGGGCTCAGGTTTGGGGCTAACAGAAAGAAGAGAAAGAAGAGAGGTTCACTTGGGCAGGTTTGTGTTGGGCAGGGTTGTGTGGGTTGTGTGGGTTTTGCGAAAGCTAGGGGAGTTTCCTTTGAGCGTTAAGACCATCAAGATGGTGACCTAAACCAAAGCCTATCAGGAAATGTCATTTTGCCCCTCAGGCCAGAAGCAACCAGATATATTAATGGCAGCAAGAGTGCTACCAAAAGAAGCAGATACATGTCACTGCATAGTATAAAAATGCTAACCTACAACATACTGTCATCAAGAAGAAGTCAATGGCACAGCCACTCTGGAAAACAGCTGACCAGTCTCTTAAAAACTAAACAGGCGACTGCCATATGACCCAGCAACTGCATTCCTACCTTCTCCAGGAGAAATGAAAACTCACGCTTAGGCAAAAAACAATACATGGATGTTCATAACAGTTTTATTCATAATAGTTCTGGAAACCAGAAACCATCCAGATGTCCTTCCACCATGAAGGAAACTGTGGTACACCCATAACATGGAATACTGCTGAGCAATAAAAAGGAACAAACTTCACATACACAACAAGTTAGATGATCTGCCAATTATGCAAAGTGGAAAAAATTCCAAAACTCAAGGGTTACCTACTACATGGTTCCACTTACATAGCCTTCTTCAAATAACAAATTACAAAGCTGGAGAGCTCATTAGTGGTGGCCAGGGGAGAGGGGAAAGGTGTGACTGTAAAGGGGTGGCATGAGGGAACCCTATGGTGATAGGACGGTTTCTGGAACAGTTGTGGTAGCGACTCTAGGAAGCTACACATGTGATAAAACTGCAGAGAAATGTACACACACACACACACACACACACACACAGAGTACAGAGGCCCTCCCTGTACATTTTGCTTCACAAGTTCCTGTGAATCTATAATTATTTCAAAAGAAAAAGTTAAAAAGGAAAAGGTCAAACCTACATTGGTATGAAGGCCTCTAAGGGATTTCTCCCCTCCAATGAAATTCTGAAAAGAATCTATGTAAGGATAAACACAGATCTTACTGCTAGGATTTCCTACAAGTTAGTGAGTCATAAAATAGTCCAGCATATCCCAAACAACTTCATTCAGAGAGAGGTCAGGTAAGGCACTCCCAATCATTGCACCCGGGATACAAAGTGACACAGCAAGACGAATCCCAGAAAGCCATTGTGTAAAGGTACTTCCCCAATCTCCTGAAATTATAATTACAGGATGAGTTTGTACATGACTCCAGTATAATAAAATACTAAATGTCTAATATTCCATTTGCTTTATTCTTGCCTCTATGTTAAATCTTACCCAACTTTTCGCAGTTTCTCTATGAGAAATTTGCAAAATATACCTCAGGTGTACACAAGTCAATTAACTGTGAGAAGATCTCAGCCTAAAACTCTAACTGGGGTCTGAGAAGAGTTGATCGTGAGCCATTCTTATTACAATGAATTAGATTATCAGGAACACTCCCATCTGTGTAGCCTATAGGACAGTAAAATCTTTTCTAGAGAAATACAGACTGCTTGTCTATTCTTTGCAAGACACTGGCAGGATCTAGCTCAGGTAGCAGCAATCAGTGTCTTCATTACAAGTCCTGCTCCAAACTTATTTTTTTTTTAATTTTTTTTTAATGTTTATTTATTTTTGAGATAGAGCACGAGTCGGGGAGGGGCAGAAAGAGAGAGTGAGATACAGAATCTGAAACAGGCTCTAGGCTCTGAGCTGTCAGCACAGAGCCCAATGAGGGGCTCGAACCCATGAACCGTGAGACTGTGACCTGAGCTGAAGTCGGAAGCCCAACCTACTGAGCCACCCAGGTGCCCCAATCCTGTTCCAAACTTATTAACAGGAGTCATTCTCACTGACCTTAAGCCTCAGATGGGTATTAAAAGGCAGATTCTGCACGGACACCCTGAGAGACTAAAGGGGTACAATACCAAGTTTGGGCATTTACTAGTTCCTACTCCCAGTTAAAGGCCAAGCGATCGGCACTACAAACTATATTCAGTATGAAGTTTACTCGTGACTCCCCATCTCTGTCCGATGCCCCTAACCTTCCTATATATAATCTCCGACAGCACTATACAGTACCTTTATGTTATACACCGGAAACTGATACATGTCAATTATATCTCAATTTTAAAAAACTTTTTCAAAAAGTGTATTTGAGTATTATTGATCCAACACTGTAGTATGTACAGGAACACAAGGACAGAGCAGCAAGATCAGT